TTGTGGCCAGTTAACCGCTGCTTCATGATATAAACGCGAATCACCCACGAGCTCTACCGCGAGCCGTCCCAGCGCAGCACAAATATTTTACTCTATAGCTTTGTTTTAAGCAACGGGGGCGTCCCGGGGCTCGACATTTGCAGGGTAGGAGGGGGGTAATGATGCTGGGTGCAACTAAAAAGGTGCCATTGTCCGGTGAGGTCCGGTTGGGGAGTTATGGAACGATCCCATATCGCATAATCTTTTTAACTGTTTATCTCCTGAACTGCATATTTCTTTACCACGCTATTCAGCGCCAATCCCGCCGTGCAGTCAATTTCACTGGTTAAGGTTAGGGTCAGGTGTGGGGTAGGTTTAGGGGTTAGCATTTTTTGTAGCATAGTGTAGGAAATCAATACTTGGTAACACTTTATTTCGATAGTCCACTTTAGACATTCTATTAACAGTAAGTAACTTTCCAACTACATGTCAACTAGCAGTTAGTAGAGTATTAGTAGACTGTCTGCTTAATATCTTCTAACACTTTCTTTGTCAACATTCTACTAACCCTAAACCTACCCTAACAGTCTACTCTGAGAGTTAGTAGACATGTAGATGCAAATGAATGAGAATTAGTTGACATGTAGTTTCAAAGTTACTTATAGTTAGTAGAATGTCTAAAGTGGACTATCGAAATAAAGTGTAAACCAATACTTTAATTGACACAACCAATAAAATCTTTAGAAGCTGTGGGGTGGAGTTTGCACTGAAGTGGATTGGGGGAAAAAATTGTGCATGGGTGTCATGTGCCTGTCTGTCAATGGGAGGAAGTCACGCCCTATTTTGGAGCTCCCACCCCGTTTTGGAGTTCCCGCCCCCATTTGGAGATCTCCAGGCTGCAGTTATACGCTTCTCGAATCCTTCGCCAAAGCGTAATGGATTGTGGGCAATTTTAGCCATTAGAGGGTGCATGAATCCACGCTTCAAAAATCGACCTGAAATAGTAGACCATCCGAGGACTTTTGGCATACTCTTTTCAACATACTATGCTTTGGGACACACTTATTCTAATCTCACATACTATTTAGGATGGA